GCAGCCGATGCAACAAGATGGACGGCCGATGAACCACTCCGATTGAAATTCAAGGTAATAACAATCATCCATTAGTGTACCGTATCTATTGACATCTTCTGTTTTGTGGATAGAGAGACAATTCATGTTCAATCTTGTGAATGATGCAGAGACCAAGGTATACGAACGAAGTTTTACACAACGGATGGAATTCAAGGCTTCTTGTTGGTGCCGCCAACTTTTGTTTTACAATGTGGACAGATCATTGTCACTATGACAAGAACGATGACTGCAATGGTAGTGAAAATATGGTGTAGTAGTGAAGTGATATGAGGTGAATGAGATAATGTGTGGTAATGTTGTATCAATTAACAAGAAAAATATAGTTGTTTCCAGTGTATTCGTGTTAATGGTTCATTTTGTTAACTTGACGTGAGATGTAAAATTGTCTTCATCGTAGTTATCAACCCAGCAAATAAATTATCGCAAACTCGCTGCGTGCTTGACCAACCTGGTTCCAGAGCCGATCATTTATAGGAAAAGACCTAGTGATGTCAGTGCGATCATCATGCTAGTTGAGGATGTAGGCGCTTATTTCTTCGCTATCTTGTAACTACTTTAGTGTCAAAAAATAAATACACACATATCACGCATTGCAATTTTTTCGGTTTTTATAGGTGAGGTGCCGTGACGTTTTGCGGACCTAATACGAAATCGATTCAAAAAGTACATAAAGGTATGGATGTCTAACTGCTATTCGCGTTGTCATCTTCATCATCACTATTCTCCAAACCTTCATACGCTTCCTCTTCCAAATCATCGTCATCATCATCATCAAGTGACAAATCATCGTCACCTGACTTAAGTCTCTTCTTTGACGGCTCATCACCCTCAGGAAGGTTTTTAAGACCGTCCGCACAAAACAGTACTGTGTTCAACCGTTACTTTGCATAGAATGTGTGCCTGTACTTGCGTGTACTGACATCAAAAACGTACACCATACGATCAAGACCAACTGCTGCAATGTATGGGAGCGTTGGGTGGCACGTAGCGTCCCGAATGGATCTGACTGGTCCTGTGCATCGGCTCATATGCTTCAAAGTACGTAAGTCCAAAATGTCCAGGTTTCCTGCTGTATCTCCGATGTAAACTTGAGTCTCATCTGGTGATATGCAAAGCGATTGAATCGGATTTTCTCCAAAATTATTAAGCTGTTGTACTGGTCTTCGCTTTGTGTTCGAGTCGTAGATTCGAATTTGACAGTAAGCGTTTCCGACGATAACGCGGTGGCCATTGCTTGTACCAGAAAATAAAAATTGATCCAAACGGGTACACGAATGTCTAGCTTGTCATGTGTTTCATTTTTGGCTTTAAACAGAACTTGCTGGGTCTCTAATGACCACAAATTCAGGTCATACTCCTTACCGCCGACACCAATACACGACTGCACTTCAGGTTCAAGATGCATCACGTGAATTCCACCGTCAATATTAAATGATAATGGATTATCGCTTTCCAATCTGCTGTGAACTATTACATCACCTGTGTCGGAGCACTGCACTATAAAGCTAGACTTTTGTATGAAGTCCATCCCTACGCACCGTGCCAATCTTTAAGTTTTCTCTGGAGCTGGCCAAGACCAAACTAACTTTCTAGTGTTGCTGAGATTATTGCTGTGAGAAGCCTCGTAACTCTTCACAATACCGTCAGCGCGTGCCAGCACCACAATGCGTTGAGAATCGACGGTCCTGTACTCGAACCAAACGAACCAACAAAATTGCTGAATACCTTGAGATCATGCTTGTAAGTGTTCGAGGTCTGATAGGATGTACTGTTTGTTCTTCTCAAGTTCAATAGATTTGAGTAAACCGGTTTCATCACTTATGAGGACACGCATATCAATGTAAACTGATGTTAACGAATGCAGGGTAGAAATATAATAATAAAACAAAGTGATGTGGAGATGGCATTGGATTGGCATTCAATGTAAAAATAAAAAACAAATGGCATTGGATAGAAAAAATATTTGATCTTTATGCTGCGTGAAATTTGAAAGGATGACCTTCAAAAGACGGTGACGCTACTCTTGCTCAAGATGAAGCCTATTGTATTGTTTCTATCGATCGGGATGATTTGAAAGAGGTCATGATACCACGAGGACCTCCAATCGAGAAAAATACAATGTAGAAAATACTTTGTGGTGTTCAACATTCGCGACCCGAGCCGCTTTACCCCCTTACTATGATGAAATTCTACGGTCATGGGGTTGATCAAGATGTGGAAGTTGCTGTAAATTTGCTCAATGTAGCAGCAAATCTTGGACATCGTGATGCGCATTTTGCTCTAGGCGTGCTCTACCTGCGCGGAGAAGGCGTAATCCGTAGTCACCAAATGTACTGCACAAGATCTCTAGCAACATGGATGCTTGCCACGTTGGTAATGAAGGTCGGGGTGTGAGTGAAGACGTAGTTAGTGCAGTAAAACTATTTCAGGATGCTGCTTTAATGGATAATAAGCATGCTAAGTTTCATCTTGATATGATGTACGAATACGGTCGTGGTGTTCCACGAGACTTTAGTACGCAGCCAAATTATATCGATAAAGCTGCGAGCATGTACCAGACGCTTCATATTTCCTCGGATTACTCTTCCTTTAGGATCATGGCGTTGATCAAAGCTTTGAACGTGCGTGAACAATTTCTAAAGGCCGTGGATCTAGGGGGTGCGCAAGCTATGTACGCATTGCGACAAATGCACATCCATGGCCAAGGATGTACTATCGACGTTTAGCAGGCACTCTACTGGCTAAAGCTTGCTGTTGAGCAAGATGACGTTCGAATTAGCGCTACCGCTGACACAGTGGCTAGAGAAATTAAATATGTACTTAGGCAGATTTGCAGGTTCAGGCAAGTGAGTGTATCTACATTGGCAATAAGGCTCACGAAATGTAGTTTAAAGTTCAGTAAGATTCAACCTCGGACCTAGCAGCTGAGGGCACGATCTAAATCAGCAATAATATCGGGAAGGCCCTCGATTCCGACAGAAAGACGAATGAGGCTGTCGGAGATGCCGATCTCCTTACGCACCTCCTCCGGAACTGATGCGTGAGTCATGATAGCAGGAGACTCGGCCAGCGACTCAACAGCACCCAAACTCTCGGCCAACGTAAACACTTGAAGGTTCTCCAGAAATGAACGAGCTTTTTCAATGCCACCACGTATATAGAATGTCACCATACCACTGAACCCTGACGCCTGCTTCTTGGCAATCTCGTGCTGTGGGTGGGATTTAAGGCCCGGATAACAAACCTTTTCGACGGCAGGATGTTTCTCTAGGTACTCGGCAACAGCTTGAGCGTTCTTAGCATGTGTGGCCATACGCAAGTGCAGTGTCTTAAGACCGCGAAGTGCCATATAGCAGTCGAAGGGTGATGGAACAGCACCAATACCATTTTGAATAAAACGTAATTTTGTGTTGATGTCTTCAGAATTGGTAATGACCACACCTCCAACGACATCACTGTGTCCATTAATGTACTTAGTGATACTGTGCATGACAATATCAGCACCCAAAGTCAATGGATTTTGAAAGTAAGGTGACATGAACGTATTGTCCACAACTAGAAGCAGATTGTGACTCTTCGCGAACTTGGCCACAGCCTGGATGTCCGTGATTTTGAGCGTCGGGTTCGTCGGGGTCTCAATCCAAATAAGTTTCGTCTTGCCAACACGTACGAGTTTCTCTACCTCATTCAAATCACCCATGTCTATAAAGTCAAAATCAATATTGTACGTTGGTTGTACAGTCTGACGAAAATATCGTTGGGTACCACCATAGACGTCATCAATGCATAGCACATGATCACCGTGCTTTAAAAGGTGCATCACGGCGGTCGTGGCAGCCATACCAGATGAATAGCACACAGCATAACGACCTTTTTCACAAGCAGCCAATGCACGCTCCAGAGCACCACGCGTTGGATTCCCCGTGCGCGAATACTCCCAACCTTTTCCAAAAGAGTTGTCTTGTTTGCGACCAGCTACGACGCCTGGAGATGCCTGTGCAAATGTGCTGGCTAGCGTGATGGGAACAGCAACAGCACCAGTATACGCATCTGGCTCTTGACCCTCATGAATTACCGTGGTACCGAAGCCGTGGTGCTCATCGACGTAATTCGGGGATGGAGAGCTCATATTTCCTAGTGAGCAGCCTCGAAACGGATAATGACTGGATGGCTTTTAAGTCATGTCGATAGTTTGATTAAGAGATGCCAGTGTAGTCCACACCCAGAATTCATGGACAAGTAAAAACTTTGATCATTAAATCGGGATTTGTTACAAAAATGATTGAAAAGTGAATACTTTCAAGTCTTATATCCAGTTAAACCCTTCGTTCCTTCCTATCCTTCTTCTTTACCAAATACATCAGCGATGATATCTGCATAAAGCACTTAGATAACTTGGCTTTTGTCCTTTATATCGAGCGCTTGGCACATTAAGCTCAATTTTCTTATGAAGGCGTCAGCAAGACGCAGGAACTTTCAAAGGAAATAACTTGAATTATGTCTGCGATATTTAATGTTGATACGGGGTTACACGTACCCTGTATGAAAGAGTGGGACACACAGGATGGGGTGACGGTACAAAGGTGGGAATTACACAAGTTGGAGTGAACACACAATGGTGTAGCTGCACCGTAACAAGAATAAAGCGAATGTCCCACCAGAGCGTCGAGGTGAAAGCTCAAGTCCAGCCACAAGGTTTTAGGCGGCTCTGCCGCAAAAATAACAATTAAGTGCGGTTTCAATTCTGGACGGATGAGCGTATTTGCCTTGGTTAAGGTTTCTAGGTACTCTTGGAGGTAGCGGATTGTGGTTCTTGTAAAAAACGTCAGGTCGGTGATACAAATTACGCTTTCTCTAAGCAAAAAGCTACGGCCGCCTCGCTGAACTTGGCACTTGTTGTCAATCTACGCCTGATCCTTTGTAACGTGGTTTCACGAACCCTGATAGCAGGGGTGTGTCACATGAGATGGGCATGGTGTGACTGCGCCCAAATAAGAATACGGAACAGGGCTGGATAGCCAGTAGTAATGCATGTATTAAGATTTTACAATATATATTTAGGAAAATCTATACATTTCAAATTAGGCGGTTTAACCGCAGATAAAAATAAATAATATTCAGTTTTGAATTTAAACCGAAGAGTTTATTAGCCTTAATTAAGAAATTTACTACTCTTGGAGGTAGCGGATTGCGATCCGCTGCACTCGTATTGGTTCTTATAAAAAATGTTAGGTCCGTGATATAAATTATGCTTTTTCTAAGCAAAGAGCTACGCTGCACTTGGTAGCACTTGTAGTCAATCTACACCTGAGTTGTTTAGACTGATCCTCTGTGAGCCCCAGGGCATGCAGGACGGGCTTCACAAGCTAATATCCTTGCTTGGCCCTGAGGACGTGCAGCACCTTGCGCAAGGCCCCGAGGCAATCGGTGCGCGTCTCGAGGCGTTTTCAAATTACGACAACGCGCTGCTAGAGCACCTACAGCAAAAGATGTCTGCATCATATGCGTCTATGACACCACCGTAGGTGACGGATGTCTTCCCCCGCCCTAAGCCGCTCATGGTGAGCGTTAAGGCCTTTGACGTGATGAATCAGCGAAAATCTCCTGCTCCGGGTGAAAGAGGTCGAGTTGGCCACCACATCAGCCATGCTCCAAACCGAGCAACAGCGCGTGGTGCTAGCCATCTCAAAGCTCGGTAATCGAGCGCGAA